GGCTGGGGGGCTGAGGCTGGGGGCTGAGGCTGGGGGCTGAGCTGCAGTGGGAGAACACTTGCTGGCCTCAGTGTGATAGGGGTTCTGGTGGTCTCCTTGGAGAGGGAAGGGAGGATTCCTACAAGGCCAGGCTGGAATACACGACTGCCCCGCCTTCTCAGACTTTCATTCATTCTTTTGACATAGTCATTCATTCAGCCATTGTTTGCTGAACACCTGCCATGTGTCAGGCTTGGATGTGGGGGGCGGGGCGGACCCCTAGGGTAGTGAGCTGGCCAGACCCTGCCTCTGGTCCCAGCATTCCAGAGAAGGCACCCTCCCACCAGCCCAGCCTCAACTGCAGGACAGAGTGGGAAGTGCTAGGACAAGGAAGAGGTGGGCTTCGGGCACTGCTCAGGAGCCCCTAGCCTGTCCTGGGGGCTGAGGGTAACATAACACTGTGGTTGGGGCAGCTTTCCCCACAGAGGTGCTATATAGGCTGGGATGGGGGGTGCTAACCAGGACAGGAGGAGGAGGAAGTGCCGGGGAAGTAGGCAGGAGGGGGAGGCTGGAGGAGAGGCGAGGTCTGAGGAGCTCCAGTGTGAGAGCGGTCTGGTGTGGACAGGGTGGTGGTCTGGGGGGAGCTTGAACGTCACACTGAGGCCATGGCGCCTTGGGGGACCATAAGCAGAAGGATAGCACAACCAGATGAGCCAACAGGACCTTTCATTGCAAACAGCACAGGCTGGCTCTGGCCAGCTTAAGACGAAAAAGACTTCCAGAAGGAAAATTGAAACATCCAGGCCAGAGGATGCCCAGAACAACCCAACAGCCTCTCTTGGAGACTCTGCCATTGTGATAAACCAGCATGGCCTGTTCCCACCCTACTGTCCCTACACCCCAGACTCCAGCCCAGGGAGCAAGAACACTGTGGTGTGTCGCAGTGACATCACACCCGGCAACAAGGAGGCACGAACCTGGGCTGCATGCGCAATGCAATGGATGGTGTGAGCATGACGGAGGTCCAGAGAAAGAAGCCAGACCCCAAAGAGTGTGTGCTGCATGATAGCATAGACGTGGAGTTCCAGAACAGGCAGCATGCACTATGGTGGCAGAAATCAGAACAGAGCTTTCTCTGTCGGGGGCATCCCCTGGGAAGGAGCAGGAGGGAATGTTCTGGGGTGATGGGGTACACTACATCTCAGTTAGGGCGGTGGCTACACAGCTGTAGGCACCCAAGAAAACTCGTCAAGATACACACTTAAAATCTGTGCACAGCGCTGTGTGTAAATTATGCCATAGTGACAGTATAAGGTGGAAGTGAAAGCTTTTAGAGACCAAGGATGGACAGATGGACAGACAGATAGATAGATAGATGATTGATAGCTAGCTAGATGGAAAGAAGATAGGTGATTGATAGATGGATAGTTAGGTAGAAGGATAGATGACTGATAGATACATGGATAGATAGAAGATAGATGGTAGCGTCTTAGTCATCTCGTGCTGCTATAACAGAAACACCACAAGTGGATGGCTTTAACAAAGAGAAACTTATTCTCTCACAGTCTAGGAGGCTAGAAGTCCGAATTCAGGGTGCCAGCTCCAGGGGAAGGCTTTCTGTCTCTGTGTCGGCTCTGGGGCAAGGTCCTTGTCATCAATCTTCCCTGGTTGAGGAGCTTCTCAGTGCAGGGACCCCAGATCCAAAGGACGCACTATTCTACCAGCTCTTGTTTCTTGGTGGTATGAGGTCCCCCTGTCTCTCTGCTCTCTTCTGTCTTTTATATCTCAAAAGAGATTGATTTAAGACACAACATAATCTTGTAGAGTGAGTCCTCCCTCATTAACGTAACTGCCTCTAATCCTGACTCATTAACGTCATAGAGGTAGGATTTACAACACATAGGAAAATCTCATCAGATGACAAAATGGTGGACAATCACACAATACTGGGAATCATGGCCTAGTCAAGTTGACTCATGTGTTGGGGGGACACAATTCAATCCATGACAGATAGACAGATAGATAGATGGATGGATGGATAGATTGATTGATATAGATAGGGTGACATAGATAGGTAGGTAGATAAATCCATCCAAAGAAAACTTTGATAATCCCCAAACTATCTATTACTCCATATTGACATAGGGGGTTTAGAAATGGGTGAAAGAAGAAAGGAGGGATTATAAAATTCTCTTTCATGTTCAATCAGAGTAGGAGGAAATTTAGGTTTGAACATTTTCATAAAAACACAAACAATATTCAAATTTGCCTATATATTTATTAACAATGATTAAGAAGAAATGTTACTAGATCTATCAAAATAAGGCATAAAATTAAAGTTGATACATGGCTTCTTTCTTTTGGTTTCTACCTACAGAATACCTCACCTTTAGTTCTTTTCACTTTCCTTCATTCAGCATCACCATAACGATTTTGAAATAAGTCTAACTGAAGTGCTCAAAAGTAAATTTTTTTTGAGACTCTAGCTGAGGAAATACAAAAACACACAGACATCATTCCTTGGCCAGGGGATAATGGGACATCCTGCCACACAGTTCCCCCAAGACTTCTTGTAACAACAACAACAAAAAAAAAAACCCATTGCCATCGAGTTGATTCCAACTGACAGCAACCCTGTAGGACAGAGTAGAACTGCCCCATAGAGTTTCCAAGGAGCGGCTGGTGGATTCCAACCACTGACTTTTTGGTTACCTGACAAACTCTTAACCACTTCGCCACCAGGGCTCCACTTCTTGCAACAGAAGCTATTCCCTGGAGGAAGCCAAGGAGCTGCAGTCAAAAGAAGAAGGAAGAGAAAGCTGAGAGAGCAGGCATCAGTCTTGCTCTATGAACACTGACAGAGATTGTCCTGGTCTGTTTATTTAAGGTGTGAAACCACGTAACCAAGTAGAAGAGAGTGTTAGTTTCATTCATCTCCTTCCCACAGAAACCTATGAGGGGAAAGAGCAGGCTAGCAAGAACTGTATGTGGGCTGGTAAAGTGTGAAGGTTATCTGCAAGGTCCTTGTAGTGATTAGAATCAGCTAAACCTTGGAGTTTCCCATCTTTTGCCACCTACGGACACATGACCCAAGAAGCAGAGTCCCCTGATCTTCTAGTTCTGGGCTCTTGAGCCCCTGGTGAGGGGCCAGGATGGAAAATGCCTGGAAGTCTGGGATTGCATGGATGGGAACTTTTCTCCAAAGTTGTTGCCTCCCAGAAAAGAAGTGTGGTCTCCTTGAGTCAGCTTCTCTGGCCTCTAAAAAAATCAGAGACAAGTGCTTGACCACGTGGCACATCAGCTGTTGGACCCTCTCCATGTGTCGCTGCACATGTGCACGCCTACTGCTGCCTCCCTCCCACCTCCCTCCCTTAGGGCACTTAAACGCTCCTTGTGGGTGCACACAGCTGCCATCAGAGCCCCGCTGAGAGGGAGCAGGTTTTCTCTTCCCTTCCCTGGTCACCTGGAGTCCGGCACCCCCTGCCCACCCCCGCCAGTGCCTTTCTCCCCTGCCCATGGGGACACTTGTGGCCAAACTGCTCCTGCCCACCCTCAGCAGCCTGGCCTTCCTGCCCACGGTCAGCATCGCTGCCAAGAGGCGGTTTCACATGGAGGCTATGGTCTACCTCTTCACCATGTTCTTCGTGGCGGTAAGTCTAGGGGTCTTGGAGAGGACCCTCACGGGACACTCTCCTGAAGACGGAAGCGGGATTGTCTCACCATTTTGCTTTTATTGAGTGATGAAGAAAAGTGACCGGGAAGGGAAGAGTGAGCCCAGGTTGGAGACATGAGATTGGATCTCAGGTGTAGCCCTGAGAGAGAAAGTTGGGAAGCTTCTCCATCTCTCTGGACCTGGGTTTTCCCACTTGTGTCTTAGACGGCTCTAAGAGCCAGGAAGTCAGTCTGTGGCCACACGTGTGAGACCAAACCCAAAGTGTGCCCGGGCCAGCCAGCGAGGACAAGCCCTTCCAGGGTGTCCCGTTTTCTCTGCCACTACAAGACTACCCCAGGCTGCCCAGGGCCAGGCTCCCCCCTCCACCCCTCTCCCCGCTACACTCACAGGGCGGCTGAGCGTGGAGGAACAGGGTGCACCAGGCCCAGGAGGGGTCAGCGGGGCTTAGGGCCGAGGGTGCTGGGTGAGTCTGATTCCAGAATTCTGGAGCTGCCCCCGAACTTGCAGTCAGGACGGCCTGCTTAAACCCGCTCACACTCCTCACTCCAGCTCATACCCCCTCACTCCTGCTCGCCTGTCCCTCTGGGGCCCTCCTCTCTTTCTGTCTCTGGGGGCTCCCTCTGGGTCCCTCTTCCTCTCTGTATTATACATCTGGCTGAGTGGGTCACTGTCAATGATTTGTGTGTCGAGAGGGTGTCCACGGAGCACCTAGAACCCTGTCTAGCTTCGTCGGGGCCTCTGCCTTTCTCTTGCGGTCTCTGTCTCCATATTTCAGCCTCTCCCTGTCCCCCTGCGCCCTCTTCCTGGGTCCCCCTGAGCCTCATTTTCTCTCTGCCTCTGTCCTTGCTTTGCCCTTTCCCCCGTCTCTGTCTGGGTCTAGCGCGCTTTCTGGAACCACATCCACATGGAAGTCCTTCTTTCTAAAGCTCTTGGTCTCTATCACCTATCGAACAATCATCTAGCTATTGCTCTCTCTGTCTGCCTGCCTGTCTGTCTGTCTAG